AAGAAAGGCGTGAAAACAACGCTACCGAACAGGTGTGTCGGGCACGGTTTTACCAGTGGAACGGCCTTTTTTGTATGAGACAGCTCGTATGCACCATTTAGATTTCACACAACTCTCAACTTTGAAGAAAAAGGAACAGCAAAGCATGCCGCAGACACCATTCAGCTATAGGAATAGCTGCAGTGGGCGCACGTTTTACGAGACTGCTCAACTGGCGTGAAAGTCGAAATAACACTGGTGATCGTATAGTCCACCCACTTTACGGGAGCTGGCAACATGCCAAATATTATGCCACGGTCTGATAGCGCCGAATGTACGAAACAGGCCTATTTGAATTATTTTCGAGGGTTTCTCATTTGCAAATAACCAAAACCACCATTTCGAAGTTATTTGATCAACGATTGTTCGTGGTTGACTAATTCGCCAACTGTTCATAAACCATGAAAAATTTTGAATTCGGTAGGAATGGCATCCAGTTTGCAAAGTGCAGTCAGAGGACTGGAACACACCCAAACCACATACAACGACAACAAGTACAATTACGATAATATGCCAGTGATAACAACCGCTGCCCCCTAAAGTTTGAGGAGCTGTTCTTTCCATGGCGATCCTAGCAAGACGATTGAAAGAGATTAGTGAAAGACATCTGTGGTCCTACCGGGAAGGAACCTCTGTGAATTTGAGGAGAAAGAGGAAAAGGAAGGATCTCCTTGGCAATGAAAATAAAAGCGGGACAAATGTATCAGTGGTGGAATGAGGCTGCTAAACTCCGAGCTTAAATAGCCATCCATGAGAAGGGGTCGTGATGTGACCAGGTACGAAGGGTCACACTTTTCCATGCTAAAAGTTTGAAATAGACTGAAAACACTGAATAACCCGCTCAACCTCCTCACCTAATCCCACTCCCCTGCCCACTGCTCAGTTAGGCTTTGTGTAGTTTGAAGTGGAAGTTAGAGACTAGAGGATCCATGATCAAGGACGAATGAGTGAGATAACTTTGTGATGACAAAAATGAAGGAACCACCGGAAAACTTATTCAGTTACAACCGGTATTGTGCCGTTTTAAGATAGAAACATCAAACTTTTTTTGATACTCTGAGTCAAGTCGAGTTTGTTTCGATTCCCAAGTTATATCCAATAGAAATCTCTTAAAAATCGCTCAAATGTTACTTCTAGAACAAATGAAGACGTCGAGCAGGCTACAGTCAACAATTGCATGAGTTCAGCCCATGAAGAAAACATGAGGAGCTACTTTGCAAGTCTGTCGTTCTCAGTTAAGTGCATGGCGATTACTCGAGTTTATGGGCCATAAACAAACGTATTTCAAGTGCAATAATTTTGGTCTTCATGTTGGTAGCTGCGAAGGAAAGCATAAAGCTGGAAGGGAGTAGTGCGGCCAAATGCACCATCGCCTCTGTGGTAATGAATCACAGCTAACGCAGAGCAGTGTGTGATAGAAAGCCAGATAAAAGAAACGCTGAAAAACAACGGCATGATTCATGAACGGCAGCAATCCTCTACCTGCGTCTTGGTCTGATGAGTGATGCTTCCTTCCGCTACGAACTAGTGGTTATTCGGCTCGGAAGTGGTAGTTAATGGTAGTAGTGTGAGGTGGCGAAAATGCCGATTGACTAGTGTTTGCCCTTACATCAATCATTTGTTTAACAGCATTCCATCACAGTGTGTATCTCGTCCTTTGGCCACATACCCCAATCATCACAACAACGAGACCGCAAACGAACAACAATCATACATATGATGGTGACTAATCGCTGCTATAGCTCATTCAAAGCTAGTGTCCATCAAAAAAATGGGCCATCGAGCTTTCCGGCGGCTGACAACAAATCTATAGATCTTGGAATTTCCAGTGGGGACCTTTTCGAAACAGTCATGCATACTAGACTTCTTGTGGGTGTTTGTTGAGACATTGGCATTATGTTTGCCAAAATATTTCCCCTGCCAACATGAAAACAATGGTCCGGAACAATATTTCGCACAATCCGTGAAACAGTCATCGAGCTAATGTCGCCATTTTTGGTCTGTTGTCGGAAGTGTACCGGTCAGACGATGAAAAGGCTGGAAAAGAAGTGCGTATCGGGTAATTTTGAAGGGGAAGTCTTACGGCCCCTACGGAAGCTGGAGAAGATGAGAATGTTGAGAGGTACAGCCAAACAACAACAAGTTCCACCATGAACCTTTGCCCAGCAAAAGGAATGAACACAACTGGCAATTACTGCGTGAGAAATATTCCAAACAGGTTCCACTTTGACCAGGACAGGTTTTCTATAGTTTTCCCAGTCTATGAACATCCATGCCATCTTTGACTTCAAGTTAAAATTGATGCCTTTGTGAAATGAAAAAAAACAATAAAATATTGTTTTTTTTTATATTTGGTGACCGTACTTTTGCTTATTCCACTCCATGTCTTGAACGAGGGACACAGCCGGGCGAGCAGTGCCATTACCACTTCTCCCCTCGAACCTTCAATCTGCTTTAAGCGAAACTTCCACTTTCCTCTGTTCCACTCTCTTATCGTCCTTGCAAGCGCTCCTAAAAGTGAACAGCTTTGACTGACCGTCAAAACTTTCTCAGTGAGAACTATTGAGTAGGATGCGAGCCACAGTTACTCACTTCTATGTGTTCGAATGCATACTTAATATCAAGTAGTGACTAATGGGAGCTGAATGATTTAGGGCCGGTACTATTCAAAAGCTGTAAGTAGTTTTCTCTCAGATTGGTTTGAAAACTTTCTGTAGGCTTCATAAAACAGCTGAATATTTTTCATCATTCTCTTCAATAATGAGGAGCATTTCGCCGGAAAAGCTATAGAAGCTAATGACCAATCACTCTTGTTTTTGGCATGCCCGGAATAGTTATTCAGCCTATTAGTAGCAGCTGAATGTGTATTTGGCCCGCATATTCACTTGCGGAACCAATGTACAGGCCGGTGCTTCTCAGACAAGCCTGTTCTCAATTAGCTGAATGAAGAGGAATGATGGGGAATGGGAAATTCATCAGCTCTGGTAAACTCTGATACGATGCCGAAGCCATGTACACGTTAACGGCTGTACCTCTCATTTACTTTCCGGTAGTTGTTTTTCCTTCAGAATCGAAGAATCTGGTATTTTTATTTAAAAGAGCAATATAATGATCAAGTGCTTCTTAAAATAAATTTGCTGCAATAGATAGCACAATACAGACGAAACTCTGAATTACTAGTTTTTGAGTGGAGCAGCGTTGCCTGTGGAGGAATTCTAGCCTTTACAAAGCTCTTCGGAAGACAATCCTATATTACCGAGTAGGCGAAAATTATTATTACACAGATATCACATCCCCGAAGACTAATAGAAAACTAATAAAGCAAACATTTTTCAAAAACGTGTCTACCTTCAATCTCTTACTAAAACATTATATTGAAACTCAGTCAGATCTGTTGCTTTCTGCTTTCACTCAACCCCGGCTGTGACGGTAGAAGACGCGGCGGCACACAGCTGGGATCAACGAGATGAACCCAGCTTCTTTCAGTTCTTGTTCGGGCTAACGGATACTTTCACTTATTTTTATTTTTCTCAGTAGTTTTGAAATCTACCAAAATTTTAGTACCTTTAGTCTGCCTTGTGAAATGGAAGAAACCGATTGAAATGTTATAAACTCAGATAAATTTTGTATGAGCGTTGGCGCGCGCCATCATCATAATTTTGGCGATCCGTGTATACTAAATATGTAGTTACCCTATTCGTTTGATTGATATCAATGACCAATGTCTCGATATAAGGAAATGGTGACCAATCATGGTAGTCACTAGTCTTCTACGTCCTCGTCCGGGCCAGAAATGGAGGGTTACTTAGCAGAAACTCTTAATCCGAAAAACGGAAAAGGAAAATGCAAAAGAACAATAAGATCCACCATGCTCAAAAAAATGGGAGAAAAATTATAACTTCACAAAACTGCGGTGTTGCCTATTTTATAGGAGGTGGACTGATCAGAGATGATTTGTTGTTCAAATTGATCACTGCGTCGTTCACTCGGATGTTGGTCTGTTAATTCATCACGATTGACGCCACTCAACCATATGCGACATAAAAAACAGACAAGCACATGATGGGGTCTAGCTTTTACTACAAGAAATTCTTTTCAAAATCAAAGTGCTAAGGAAATGACTATCCTCGTGTTTCCCCTTCAGATACCCGTCTCATGATCTCTCTCTCGCTCTGTCGATATGCCATTCATCTGTTTGCTAATATGTTTGACTGCCATTTGCTTATCAATCAGATCAGATCTATTTGTTTCGTCAAAATAATCCTCACGGAAATATCCCAAGCATTAGACATTCCTTGATTCTAACCCCCACCCACTCCTTTCAAATAGTATTATTATTATTATCCTATTATCATTATCATTATTATTATCCTTTCCTATATCGTTTCACTGTCTGCGATCATTGCAAAAACGCTGAGAATTACTTTCTGGAGAGAACGCTCTCACGTTCTATCGGAATTTCCTCAGGCACTGAAGCTAGGGGTATTTGGTCAGTACAGTATCCGTTCATTAACCGTTCAAAGCAATTGTTTTTTAGGCCAGTTCTTCCACTTCTGGAATCAAGAGTCCCAAAAAACTGGAACTCTCAAATACAAGAGTCGAAGCTCCATAAGGAGGCTAAATTCCCATCCTTGTTTCATCAATAGACGAGTTACAATCTGCAACTTGTGTTTATTATAGCGATAGCGCTCATCCCCACTTGATCAGTGAATGGCATTCATTGCAAGAACCGTGTTAGGTAAGTTTTAGTTTTCACTCTGAGGAAAACGTGTTTGAATAAAAAAAGTAGCAATAAATTTGCAGACACGATTATACCCGCATTAATATTCATAATTTACGCAAACATATAATGCAAACAAATACGCATGATGAAAGTGAACGATCAAAGACCAGTTCGATATGTCAATACTCAAGAAGGTGTCTGCAAAGGAATCCAGATGCCATAGAAGCGACAACGCCACAGGTTACTATCGTAAAGTTGACTGCTGCAGGAAGTTTCGGATACAACGCTGAAAACTTGCCGCAATGCAAACATAATCTACCATTGAAAAAATCTACGAACTCACTTCGTTGTACTTGAAAATGTGAGATGAAGATGAAAAATTGCGTAACGAATCTGTATGAGAATTCGTTACTCAGCCTGAATATGATAGAGAACACCACCGCGACGTTGCCTGGAACAATACCTGATTTACTATACTTGAGAAGTACGACTTTTGGACGAGTCCTCAACCTATATGATTATTTGCAAAGCCAAGGGTCTCAATTAAATGATCCTAGGTATGGGAAGTCGGCTGGTCTGATAAGGAATATAAGGGGATTTTGCTCCCTCCTAGGTAGTGGCAGTGGCGCCAGTTGGCACTACTCCCCATCTCCAACCAAAAATGTGCCTTTTGCCAAAGCTGTTCATCGTAATGAATTCTTCCTTGTAGAAAGGAAAACTTATATGACGAAATGCAACATTTGTCAGCCAGTTCCGACCGGAAACTATGGAGAGCCCATGAGACGGCAATGCCCTACTTCGAATGAAAACATCGAAAAGGTATTGAGCTCACCATAATAGCCGATAATTGTCCCTTTAGTTACAGCCGCTATTCGTTCCAAGCGATGAGAATGAAAAACCACTTCACAGAGTACGATTAATCCAATATATGTACTCATCTCAATGCTGCTTTGTAGAAGGCTTTTGTAGAATCTTTAACGATGAAGTTAAAGTAGCATCTGTCAAGTTATTAAGTAAAATTGAAGTCCTACATCCATTCCAAGTCGTAGATGTTATATACCCCAGTTCGACCCGAAATCCACTTATCATATGCATCACAGAATAGGAATATCACCGCCAATCGAAAATGACTCTGAAAATGGCAATAGGATATGACACCGCGCTATAAATATACATTGTCAGAACCTGCGCATTCAATGGTATTTGCAAAAAAACAGCAATGACTATACTATATCATGTGACAATGGCCGCAGTTATAACTCAGAGTTCCAGTAATCCCTACACTATAACGAATTTGTGTATGAAAATGAAGGAATCAAAGCTTCGTGATGCGTTTATTGAAGGTACTCCTTTTCAAGAATAATACTTCGAATTTTTTATTCCTTTCCTTACTATGTTTATTATTTACTTCATGAAAAATCAAGAATTAAGTGGATTTGGCAAGTAAAATGGCAGTAAACTGAAATAAAGTATCACTGATGTTCCGTCATATCGAACAGCACACCTAGTTTTATTGCCAATATAAGGGATAGCATAAACGAATTGCTGTAGCTTCAGCGATTTCACTCTCTCTCAGAGTTTGAGCAGGATTGAGGCGCCGAGGTTTCTGTTCCTCCCCAATTCTTTAAACCTCCCAGTCAATGACAGAACTCTACGCTTTTTTGCTGTTTCTCCGCTTATGTTTAGACTGTAACGGACAGTAATTGATGTCTTTCTGAATTTCAGAAAAAGTAGCGAAGGATTTGCTGCTCTTCAAACGAGCTGTAGGAGCCATGGAAGAAAGACTGTGTTTTAACCTCCGCTTTTCAAAAAAAAAAAAACTACGCTCGCATCAGATTACACACCAGATAGGTGGCCAAGGTTGCACGTCGTCGACTATGATTAATGTGTAAGAGGAATTGTGCGCATTGTCTGGTTCGTCCCCAGTAGACGCTGTCGTGTAGTTACAAAGTTAAGGCAAAACAGATTCAGCTCGATCTCTTCGCCCGCGTTCCCCAAGCCGGCAGAGATGATCGAGCTGAGTCTGCTTTACCGCATAGTCGCCCCATGACCAACGTCGACATCGGTCCGGCGGCGGAAGTGGGTCGGAGTTCTCACAGAGGGGGGCACACCAAGGTGAAATTTGGGTAGTGGTCAGTGATTTCAGACTACAGTGACCATGAGTGTCATTTTTCAGAGTAGAGTATTGAGCATTGAGCGCGCGCTCTGTTGACAACGCAGGTCGTATATTGAAACTGGCGGTGAATAAGTTCCTGATCAGGTTTATGTTGGTTGCGCTCACTTTTGTCAACTTTTATGGAGAGAGTGCAGCGCTGCTCAGGTATGAATTTCCACACCGGAAGTAACCATTCAGCCGAGCAGCATAGTTTACTGTGTGCAAGTTTGGACGACCAACAGATCTTTTTATCCCCAGTAAAACAATGACGGGATTGGTGTAAAAAATTGGTATGGTTCTTGTATCGTTTGTGGTTGTAACAAGCTACATCGTTTGTGGTTGTAACAAGCTACCTTTACTAATGGAGCTAATTTCTGGTGACATCTGGAATCATCATATGGAAGTTGAACCGTGCAAAATGCAAAAATACAGTGGTGGAACTTTCATCATATATGGAAAGAATGTTGGAGTGAGTACAAAAAGATGGTAGATATTAATGTCACGAAAAGAGCGGGAAATGTTATGCCAGATGAATAACCCAACTACACTACTCGACTTTTTCAAGAGCCGCAGGTATCTTTTCAGAGAAGA